AGAAAAATTAATATTTTAATCGTACCGCGGTTTTCTAAATTTAATATTTATGACAAACTATTTACACATCAGATAAAAAGAAAAAAAAGATAAAGAACAATTCATTTCAGCGCACGTCAGCACGAGTATCCATTTAATTTATGCACGATGTTCAACTTTGCCACTCAAAAACACTTTGATCAATCTACTCGTTGGAAACAATCTTTTTTTCCATAAAAAGTTCTCTATCTACTCTCATAAACTTTGGTGGAGCATAAAGTTTCAAACTTATATGAAAGGTCTATAACATCCTTGCAAAAAAATTATGATTCTTATTTTCGCGACGAATTATAAAAAGTAAACTATTTTTTTAACAAATAACTATTTTAGTTATAGAAAAATTATTATAATTGTAATATTGAGTTAAAAAGACATATACATAATTTTATAAATGGTAATAATAAACAAAATATATTTATTTTAAAAATCAAATATTTTTTAACATTAAAAACGTAAAACCGAAATAAACATAGAACTATATGATTTATATGAAATTAAAAATATATTAAAATTAAACGTTACTATCAATGTGAATAATAATATTTCACGAGAGAAAAATTAATTGATAATAAGAATTTTTCAATAAACTTGTTACAATACAAATAATTTAGTAAGAATTGATTTTTTTGGACTTATTGGATTTTAGAATTTAATTTAAAATGAAAACTTCTTATTTAACAAAAGACTATTAGGATAAAATTATTGTAATTGTGATATTGAGTTATATTCTAAAAAAAATGTATAAATAATTTTGTAAATAATAATAATTAGGGAATAGAATAGAGAGTAGAATATAATTACTTTAAAGAAGCAATAAAAAAAGAAATATTCTTTAACATTCAAAATGTAGAAATAAACATAAAATAATGTGATTAATAGGAAACTAAAGATATATTAAGATTAAGAATTATTATCGATATAAATAATATTCACATGAGGAAAGTTCACTGATAATACATAAGAGTTTTTCATTGAACTTGTTACCACACAAATAATAATTTAGTAAGAATTAATTTTTTTAAATATTTTATAGAATTTAAGTTGATATGAAAAACTTCTTGTTAACACACGTGGATGATTGAAAATTCAATATTTATACTGTACTGTATTACAACTATGCTATTATATAACTGTATTATATAATTTCACACGACGCGATTATGCTTTTAGTAATCCATAATACGAATGTTTTGTTATTTTTTTCGAGATATAATCTACCTTTGTTAACATTCATTGCAGTTCACGAAACGAAAATTATCGTTTAACTGAATCGTTTCTTTGTGATTATACCAAACTGCCATGATTTGCGCTTGCTCAGTACATGAAGGATTGACCCGCTACCATCTGTGAGTATCTTTGGAAACCCTTTCAAATAACAATCAATAGTAACACATGTAATCACCATGTGCTGAATCAAATACCGTGAAGGGAACACTTGTTTTTCGACTATAAGTAGACTGCTTGCTCGATAAAAACGTTTATTTGTTCACATCAACCAACGGTTGCTCAAAATCTGCAAAGAGATGTCACTAAAACAAAAGTGATATCAGGCTCAAATACGGTAAATGTATCGTAAAAAATATCATTTATTTATTGACTTATACATATATGATATTATATCGCGCGCGCGCGCGCGCGCGTGTGTGTGTGTGTGTGTGTGTAAGGACAGGAATAAATACATATGTATTTCTCGTGTGAACGATTGGCGGCGCTTTCTTTTTGAATCAGTGACGTTTGTGTGTAACATTCCATTTCTAATCTCTCGTACATTGAAATAAATTATACTTCGTATACATCATGCACGATGTAATTTGTTTTGTTCGACAGAACGCGAGAATCAGAAATAAGATGAGATGAAGGCGACAGGCGGAAATGTTCACTAAAAAGCGATTAGGAAATACAGTATTGTGAACATTCGGAAATTGCAAAAGATGCAACTTTCTTACCGCCGAACTTACATCTTTTCTCCTACCTATTACCTCTTTTCTCCTAAATCCTATGCTTAATTATCTAAATTACAAAATGATATTAAATAAAATCGCCTCAGTGGCAAGTATATACAGTTTTGGCTCGCAACCGATTCGACGGAAATGATATTAATCGATGTTTAATCGTGAAACTGTTGCATACGCGATTTAATGAAAAATCTCCTTCAAGATTAGAATTTTTTTGAAATTTTAATCGCAGGTAATCATGATCTCGCACGAGCCACAAATTTCCACTAGTCGAAAAATACTTTACATACCACGCGAATTTAATACATCCGGCAAGTTTAGGAAGGACGTATTAATCTTTTATTTACTATTAATATTTCTAAGCATCAATATGTGTGAAATATATAATTTTTAAATCAATTGCGTAAAAACGCTCCTCGCTCGTTTCTTTGTTGTTCCGTTAGTTGGGAAATGGCAGTTAGAGTTTGCGCATTATTATAATAACAAATATACAAAATAATTATTAAATAATTATTAATAATTAGATAAAACATTTTGTAATTGCGATGCATGCAAAAAACATTTATTATTTATAACTAAAATAATTATTTTTTAACAAAGAATCGAGGTCAGAGTATTTTCTACGTTGCGTCTAAGAAGAAAATGTAATTTGAAAAATTGCATTTTAATCATGCAAACGCAACGAAAAAAGCGGATTCTTTACAGCAAAATTTTACTAGATTTAAAGGTGCCCATTTATTATTAGGAGAAAAGTCAATGATGCAGTGTGGAAGTTACAAGCGCGTCTAAAAGAACACATTGCCGGGTCTTGCCTGCGGACACAGGAAGCTGGAACAATCGTGTCTCCTGACGGCGTCCATGACCTCCTCGAAGTGACTGGACACCTGAACGGCTGCTCCAGGCTGGATTCTGTAAGTACGCACACGTCGAGAGAGTTAGTGCAGGATAGGAGACCATTAGAAAGTCGGAGACACACTTCGACAAATGACCGACACCGCACGCAGTTAATTACTAATTAGGTGTGCACTAGATTGCGAATCTTTTAATCTTCTCGCCGTGTTCTCCATTAACGATTGCTCGCTCCGATTAACTCGCTTTCTTTAGGACATACCGACCCGAGAACTGTTGTGATTTAGAGATACCTGTGCTCGTATATTATAGAGTAAATTTAATAGAATCTAATTAATTATTATTTCTTAATTAATGCCTTTGGAGTTAAATTTAATTGTGCTTCCAGAATGCAAATGAACCGTTACTTCTCGGTTAAAATGAGCGAAATTTTTTAAATAAAATTTTTTCACCTTAATGTTTTTAATTTAGTATCCTTAATTTTAATACTTGTAATTTAAGATCCGGTGTATAAGCAGAAAGCTCGCAAAAAGAAAACTATATTATCCTGCTTTCATTGGATATTGCAATTCTCGCTATTTTTAGAAATGCGGTTTGTCCCGTAAATTCTCGTCACGTATGTGAGAACTGCTTGCTCGGGATAGCATGAATTACAACATAGTACATGATATAATGCCACTCTCTCATCGGTATATGGATGCATACATTTGTAATGAATCGAATTGAATAATGGTGTATGTTTCACATGCTGTCGGTACAGGAAATGCCATATTTGTCATTAATATCCCACAATGGATAATAAAGGAATGTAACATCGTTGACGTTTCAACTTTTTAAACTTTGAACTTTTGAACTTTGAAATTTTGAACTTTTTTTCCAAAATTTCTCGCATGCATACAAATTTTCCTTAATTTTGAAGATGAAAAACATTCCGGTAAAATTCTTTCCCGATTACGTTAAAACGATTTAAATAGATAAGTGTGTGTACAAATTAATTAATTCGTAATGAATTATAAAGATTCTTCTTATACACTTATCTATCTTTAAATCGTTTCAACATAATCGGAAAAAAAAACAGAGAATTTTACCGGAACGTTTTCTATTTTCAAAATTATATAAATGATTTGATGATAATTTAATATCTCTAATAAGCAGCAGTAAATTTGAAATGAGATATAAATTACTTAAAATGACACGTTTCATTTAATTACTACGGACACTGATAAAATCCTATCCGAAAGCGACCTGACAAGAATTGGATTAGGGAAAACTGGAAAGAGAGACGAACGAGACGACATATTAAGTGAATTATCACATCGGCTACATGTGAATTTTCTCTTTCCTTTCTTTTGTTTTGGATAACATCTCTCTCTCTCTCTCTCTCTCTCTATCTTCTCTCTCTAACTCTACTACTACGTACGTACGTACGTACGTACTACGTCGTACTACGTACGTACTACGTACGTACGTACGTACTACGTACTACGTACGTACGTACGTACGCTACTACTACGACTCTACGTACGTCTACGTACGTACGACTACGTACTACACTTACGTAGTACTAGTAAGTCAAGATATACGATACAGTTAACTTAAGTTACTACACGTAACTCGTATACTCAGTTCACGTACTACCGTACACGTCTCTATACTCACTCGTACTCTACGTACTTACTACTACTACTACTCTCTCTCTCTCTCTCTCTCTCTCTCTCTCTCCTCCTCCTCTCTCTCTCTCTCCTCCTCTCTCTCTCTCTCTCTCTCTCTCTCTCTCTCTCTCCTTCTCCCTCTTTCCTCCTTGTCAACTTTTTTTCTATCGTGCATGATCAGCGTGATAGCAGACAGGGCGCAGTGTGCGCATACAGTGAAACTGTGCTAAGAGGTAAAAGTCGAATCAGTCAGTAGGACGTCGTCGGCGAAAGCTGGAAGAAAGTTATCCACGGCTCGGAATATAGTTCCGTCCGACCGGCTGTTATCGGCTGTTGTCGTCGATACTTCGAATGCGGAATAGTTCGTGCCGATCGAGGTGACTTCACCGAATGATTTCACAAGAACACGGCGAAAATCGATGCGATGGTTTCATTATTCGTCTCGATCATTCGATTATATTTCGATTGTTTTCGATTACGCAGCAGAGTTTGCGATATCGTACATAACATCGATAAAGAGAACGTCATCCGCGATATATGTGCGATCACGCATCACTTTACAATCGCTAAGTGGAGACACAAATTGTTACATACAGCTGTATTATATTTCCAGATATAAGAAATTATATTTTTATTGCAATCAATCATTATTATAGAACGAACGTCGAACAAATAATTAAAAAATACGCTATTTGGAAAATGAATGTTATCTCATCTTTGAAAAAGCATATCGTTGGCATATTAAAGCCTCTTGTCTGTGACTTTTAAGTTTTAAATAATTAAATTTATATATTTTATAATATTATATTTTTCTGATAATAATGACGAATTTTAAGCTCAATAATTTTCAAATGTACAATAATCTCAATAGAATAGATATATATTTTTGTTTCTTATCGATAAAAATATAATAAATCGCAAGAACTCACAATTTTAATAACGCTGCCATTTTTTTCTCCATAAGTACCGAAGCGTCGGAACCTCTTTGGATCATCGTGTCGCAAAATATCCTCTTCGCACAAGGAGTGTTCGTCCAATCACCCTGTATATGAGCAACTTCCGCCACTTCGGCATTTTCCAGATTCTGTAACGCGTCAAAGAGCTCCTGATCACTTTCGATGTTTCGCTTTCGTCTTCCGTTTGTTGCTCCCTCCTCGAGATTACTCCCGAGAACTTGCGATCTGTTCAGCACGACGAAAGCACTATTGGCTTTCTCCCTTCTTTCTTGTTGCTTCTTGTTGTCTTTATTTATTTCGTCTCGTGATGAACTATCCGTGATGAGATCCGCAATGTTCTTCACGGCATTTTCCACCGGCATCTTTGTGTTTTCCTCGATAATTAGAATAGCATTTTCATCCGAATGTTTCTTCTTCTTATTCCTCTTTGGAATCAGAAATTCGGTGATGTCGATGTGATCCGAGCCAGCGGGCAGATCGATTTCCACGATCTCGCTGATAGAATCGGCTCCTTTCCTTTGGAAGCGTTTGCTGCGTACCAGATTTTTCATGTCGACGTCCGCCTTAAAGATATCCAAATAATCGAGGCTTCTCTTTCTACGCCCGCTGGTTTCCACGTAATCCGCTTCGTCTATCACTTGTTTACTTTCCCGATTCTCAATCCTCTCGGCGTTTCGCTTGTCCTCCTCCAAAACTAGAAAGACCCCGTCACTCTCCGCCGAGTCCGCGCTGCTGTCTTCTCCCGCTTTGCCAGCCCGCGGGATGCTTTGCGGAACGTACAAAGTCTGCGGCGTCGCTTCGTCGTTCGGTCTTAAACTTTTGTTCTCGGCCGTCGAAAAATACGCTCCGCTTTCCAAGGCGCGCTTGTGCTCCAGATCGGCGTCGTCCGCGTTCGATCGTTTCAGAACGTCGACGTCGAGATATCGGCCGACCGCCACGGCGCCTATGCCGAGGGCGGCGCCAGATGCGACGAGACCTAAGGCCGGTATCAGAATACTGGTGCCCGACGCCACCGTGCCGATCTTGTCCTGAGCCTCCTTGCCCTTGGACAGACCGAGATTCTGCGAAATTTTGTGAGTCGCCTCCACCAGGGGATCGATCACCGGCCTGGTGAACTGCGAGACCCTCTCGACCCCGGTGGAGAACTGATTCTTCAGGTTCTCGGAGATTTTCACCCAGAATGGCGGCTCGTACGGTCTCTTCAGGCCGTAGAAGTGCTGATTCGGATAATAATTCTTCGTGGTGTAGCTGTCCACGATGTTCTTGCTGTTCAGCACGTACTTCTTCTTGTGACGCTGCTCGGTGAACGAGTGTTGATTCTCTGGGAAATTGTCCGGTCGTCGTTTCTCGTTCTTCAAGATCTTGGCCGGTTGTACGCCCAGTTCGGGATGGGCGTATTGGAGAACCGGCGCGCGAGCCCCGGCCTTCAACGCCACAGGCGCGATGGTCTGACTTTCGGAGGTGTAACGCTGAGAGATCGGATAGCTCGCGATGCCGTCCGGGTGCAGCATCCTCTTATGAATGCTCGCGCGGTAATGATCGTTCTGCGGCTCGTACACTTCGGCCTTCAAGGCTTCGTTCTTGTAGTTCCTCGGATCCCACTCGAAATATACGTTTCGACCTTCTTCACCGTAGTTGCGACCGTATCTGATGAACATGGAACAAAATCAGGGAATTATCGAAAGTATCCGACTAACAATCGGTATTTTGAATAAATAAAAATTAAAATAACGAATATAATTAAGTTACACAAGTTAGTTACAATTCTTAAGTTAACATTAATACCTACCTATTTATACAGATACAATAAATAATCGTAACTATATAGTTCTTATTTAGATTTTCTTAAAAATTTTTTAATTGATACTCAGGCATCATTCGGCCGGATTTTTCCTTACCTTCGATTGACATCCTTGAAGAACTTCTCGAATTTTTGCCTCTTTTCTGAGGCATTATCATTAAAGTAAGGATCAGCAGGAGGCTCCACGGTGACTGTCAGACTATCTTCAGGGGTTATCAACTTGTTGTTGATAACCCGAGCGTTCCGCCAGGTTTGCACTTTGTCGATGGGCTCATCAGGCACTCTTGTACCATGGATCACCGGCGTGCCGTCACTGTCCAGTGACATGGGCGATCTCTTCGGTGCAGTCTTCACATTGATCTCCGATCGGACGATCACTTCTGGAGGCACGGCCTTGCCGTCTCGATTCTTCGACAAGTTGGCACCAATATTCGTCCTCGTGGACACTGTTTGTGGTACGTACATGTAATGAAATACGCCCTCGTCACTCTGATCATCGAGCTCAAAGTTTCTTTCAGCTCGATCCTGAAAATTCTTGGCAAACAGGATACCGCTGCTAAATCCAGCCTCGTTCGACCTGTCGTAATTTGTTCTCTCTTGGACAGTAGTCTCCAAGTTTGTTCGTAATGGTTTCCAATTTTGATACTCCTCTTCTTCCTCCGGTTCCTCCTGCCTCAAGGCCCTTCCGTCCGCGTTCAATGGTGTCCAATTCCCATAATCGATTATGCTGATAGGTTGACTTCTCTCAGTTGTAGGCTTCTCGTTGGTACGATTGACATCCGCTTTATCACTTTTTGATTCGGAGACTTTGGAGAATGTCGCTCTGATTTGTTCTACTTGAGCTTCCTCGAGTTTTCGAACCTCGTTCTTCTTTTTGGATTCGTTCCTTTCGTCATTAAGCCTCGATTCATTTTGCGCATTCGTAGAAGAGTTTCTTTTATTTTCCACAGTAAAGTTCGATTCTTCTCGAATAGGTTTCGGTGTTGATTGAGAATCATCATGTGTGAATGACGATTTGTCTCGTCGTTTAACAATTAAAGTAGCCAAGTTGCCTTCGCTTGTCCGCACTTTTAACTCTTCCGTCTCACCCGGAAGACTTCGAGAGACTTTCAACATTGTCCTGGTGTAACCCGGTTTAGGCAGCTCGACGTTGCATGTGCCGAGTGTCAAGGTCATAAAAAACAGAAGAGAAATAATCTGAAATAAAATTAAATTGCCTAATATAAAATCCATTACATATTTTTTTCAAACATTTTTGTCAAATTATACTTTTTTAAATAATGTTTAATCAAGCAGAAAAAAAGAAAAGGAATATATATATATAATTGGCATATTAAAATGTTTTATATGAATAATATATTAACAATGATTTAATATTTAATGATCACGAATAACTTTTTATCTATTTCTTTCAAGCTTATAATAGCGATAATATGATGTAAAAGAAATCGAAAAGAAAAGCACGATTGGGAAACATTACTAGGTCGTAAAGTTGCAGAATTCGCTTGAATTTATTGACTTCGATTGTTTGATAATTTTCCGACACAATCGGGACGACGCGACGCTTCATCGACGATACTGCGCGCCGTAATTCTTGCGCGAACGTCTGATGTTGCGTACATGCGTGATTGCGCTTCGACAATTGAAGAGCAAACGGAGACGAGCGGAATGTGAAATGAGTTTCAAAAAGGTTGTCGAAAGTCGGCCGTACGAATCCCTAGAAATCGGCAATTTGCCTGCCCGTTTGCCTGCGCATCGCATTACATTCGCGCGAATTAAATAAACGCCGGCTCATATTTCTATCGCTACGAAGCGACCTCCTCGACTTCGCGCAAATTCCCGCATCGGCGCATCTCGATTTATTCGTAACGGATGAATCGGCCAAGTCATCAGAGCGACAACGCTCCGACGGCTCGGCGACGAGAGAAATTTAATAGCACGAAGGAGATTGTCGGCATTCTTTCCCGGCATTAGAAAATAGCAATGTAGTAACCGAGCGACGGGTTACTTTCTATTATCAAACGTGACGGTTACCCCTGATTGAAAATTACGCACAGCTGACAATCCTCGGCGCGATTATGCATGTAAATTCGTAGCTGACTCATCGCGTGAATTATAAAATATCATCTCGACGTATTGAAACCAGGTGACAGAAGCGTAACGGAATGCTCGCGAAGAAATACGAACGTGTAGACCATTTGATCGAAGTGCCGTCTTTGGAATCGACGAAAGCACCGGTTATTAATTAATTTTACGCGTCGGTTACTCTTGTCTCTTTGAAGAATGTCGTTATTTGGAAGACAAAATTTTAGAAATTATTCAAAGTCATGGTTAATGGGGGACCCTCCGAACGTCCGGCCGTTGAAATTCATGCGCTTGAAGTTCGACGAGAAGTTACGATGAAAAAAAAAAAAAAAATACTTTCTAATCGCACGCGTACGCGCAAAAAGCGAATAAAATGAAATAAAATCGTGAAAGGTGGCTCTGGACCCAGCATGCTCTATCGACAAGTGAAATGGAACGACATGCTTTCCCCGTGCACGTTTTGCGCGAAACACGCGCGTGCGTTAACTCGTCTACGATCGGTGCGTAGCATATACATATATGTCAGTAGGGAGTACGAAACGATCCACTTTTTTCATTCCAGTGACTTTCGATCGTCAACTATTGATGACCGGCTACAACACTCTTTGCAATTAACATATTAATTCCGATAATAATCACTACTACGTTTATTCATCTCATTTAAGAATGAAAGTTAAGAATTTTATTTATTTGGTATCGCTAAAAAGCACTTTCAAACAAAAGCTTGATTATATATAGTATATTCTTCAAATAATTTGAAATAATTCTAAATCTGAATTATATTTTATCGAATAAAATATAATTTATATTTCAAATTATATTTATATAAATATAATTTGAAATATAAATATATTTTATCGAATACGAACGTGTAAATTTTATTCGAGAATAAAAATTACACGTTCTTATTCGAGTTATCGAATAATTAAATGTAAGATTTTGAATCTTAATAAAATAAAAATTTTTGGATGTAGAAATAAGAATTCATAAAAATATAAAATTTAATATATAATTTATTAGTTGAAGAGACAATTTTAACGTATGAAGATACAATATCGAATTCTTTTAATTATATAAATTAGTGGAGATTTTTTTCTAGATGCGATAAAATATAATTTAGATTTAAATTATTTCAAATTATTGAATGAATAAATAATTTAAATTCTTATGCGAGAATAAAAATTACACGTGTCTTTCCAATTAGAAGTCTGAATTTTGTCGCGCGAGAGATCCCGGTTAACGTTATGTATTACAGTGAGGTCGAAACACGCAGCGTAACGCATAGCACACTGATGCATGTCACTCGTGGTTTCCGCTCCAGAAAATCCACACAGGTCGACATTAATTGTACTGCAATTAAGTCTAGATCTAGTTTTTTTTTTTCCGATGACCGTCGCGATCGTTCGTCTGGAAATCACCCACGCTCTACCGCCGATAGTAAGCGATCGGGTTTCGTCACGCGTGCCGATCGATTAAGCGCAAGACGCCACGAGATGATTGAGATGATCGACCCATGATCGACCGTGCAGAATCGTTCATGGTTCATTATTGCATCGATCGTATACAGAGATATATATATATATATATATATATATTTACGTAATCAACAGAACCCCGTCCGAATTTTTTGCGGATTAATTAATTAGGTATCTTCGGCTTTAGCGTCTCTTTTATCTCAGTTTTAGCAGACGAAATTACATGAAATCATTACTGTTTTACAGACAATGTGTAAAAGCGCACTTATTTGTGACAACAACGAAGAAATGAACACTTTAACCGAAAAAAAAGTGATCTTCTGATATAGACATCAATTAATTTTTTTTTTAATATTTAATATAAAATTTATTTAGTACTAAAAATTTAATATTTAACGAAATCCTACTTTTCACAAAGCAAATAATAGAAATTGAAAAATAAGGTAAAACGAAGTGCCACACAGTTTTCACGATTCTTTCTACATGAAAATTCTCCTCGAGAACGCGTGCGACAAGATTCGCGAATCGCCAAACTTTCTACGAAAATCACGTCACATCCTAAACGCGTCGTGATGCGTCACATATACATTTAACGATTCCCACAAGTAGAAAAGAGAGAAGAAAAAAAATAGAAAGAGAAAAGATTTTTACCTGACACTTCCCTATCGTCATGTCTCCTGGCGTCATGTCTCCTGGATTTCCTCCTACGGCGATTTCCACCAGAATAGGATAAATAAGAAAAGAATACAAGAAGGTCCTGCACGAGATCCGCGGGGGGGAGGGGGGGGGGAGAAGGAACGAAGATTCTTCCCTCAGAACCGCATGATCGGCGGCTGTCACCGGTTGTCGTCCTCGCGAATTTGGGAAACGTCGCGCGAGTCGCGAGTTCCTTCGGAAGGAAGAACGTCAGCGACGTGAGGAAAGAGGAAGAAGAAAACGAGGAAGGGGCACACGACGTCTCTCACCGGAGGCTCTCCCTGGCTCCTGTCACACCTGTTGACTCCCGGAATATCTTCGCGAGACTGACGGTGCCGCTCGGCCGGCGGCTCCTCGTGCGCCCGAGACTTCTCTCCGACCTACTTCTCGCGCGCCCGCCTTCGTCTTCTTCCGTAGCGCGCGTCCGCGCTTAACCCTTCCGGGGGGAGAGAGGGCAAGTGACCCTTCTCTTATCGTTCGGTATCCCACGAAGATTCGACGAGGGACATCGAGAAACGATTAAAGTAATTACAGACCGGATCGAGTCTCGTCGTCAGCATTCGTTGATTCGTCGCACGTAAGTTGTCGAATTAGTCTTTCCGATCCAGTGCGACGACCTTTTCTCTACTTCTACAATTTATTTACAATTTATGTGTAGGAGGGAAGAAAGATACAACTGAAGATGTTTCTGTACACGTTTTAAGTGTGACAAGTGGTTAAATGGAAGAGAAACCTATGCCGTATTAATGAAAAAAAAAACAGTCTTCTTTTCAGAGAGTTCTTTTTCGAAATTGACCGTTCGAGATAATCGTCTTTCATTTTTTCGTGTTCTAAAAATATGAGAAGAAGGACCTGTAATTTAATTCGTAGTTTCTATGCAAATCTTGATTCTTAATTTAAATGTCAAAGGCGCTGTTTAGCAAAAAAAAAAAACTATGTATGTATATGACATAAACAATTTTTCGAGAAAAATATTATTTATATGAAAATATTACTGAAAATATTTCATATTTAATTGAGTGAAAAATGACAGACAGAAGAGAAAGAGAAAAAAACGACATAATAATATGAAAAACATATCATTAGTGCAGAAATAAAAACAAATCCTCTCGCATTCTTCTGCAAGTTAATGTGACTTTTATTTATGCCGTGACGAAATTAATTTGTGGCAATAATGCGTTACTTCCGTTTGTTCCAATTACCAGCCATTGTCAAGAGGAATTCATACATTCAGGACGACGATTGGACCACATTATTACATCTTTATCTCCGATTTCCTCTTAGTACTTTCTCAGTATTCATATTTCGCTCTTCATTTCTCAACTTTGCACCGCTTTCATTTCACGTTCTCGGACTCGCAATTCCCAGATTTCCAAACAACGAGAACATTTTCTATATTGCTAATATAAAAAAAATTAATAAATGATAAAAGAAATAAATAAAAGTTTCTAATAAATAAAATCTTTCGTCTAATCTCTCATCCTCTTTTCAATTTTAATTAAATTACAAAAATAAAAAATATTTATATATTCTCTGCTTTATATGCTCTATTTCTCTCTTATAACGACTAAAGAAATTTCTTGATATTACAACTTATAAATGCATCACTGCAAAAATTTTGAGGATATTGAATTGTCCTTTCTCTCCACAGTTACCTACTTACATATTAAATAAATCATGTCGACCATGATTGTCCTTTTCCGTCGTGTTTAAAATGACTCATCAGAAAAGTCATTCAGGATGATAGTTATTGCGTTTTCATACGTGTTTCGTCGTACCATTTGGTTCCCGTTCAGTGGCGTTCTCTCTCTCTCTCTCTTGCGTCTCTCTCTCTCTCTCTCTCTCTCTCTCTCTCTCTCTCTCGCGCTCGTGCAAGTAAATTTTAATTATTGGGCACAGATCTTTATCAACGGGATTCTGGAGACGCGCGAAACTTCGTCGACGGCAGCCGGTTTAATTTTCAAGTTCACGAACGAGGGGCCGGTTCGGGGCGAACCGGAAGAGGCGTTCTTCGTGAGAGGCCGCCAGCGAGTTCAGAGACCCGCCAGTGAAAGTCGATCGGTTAAATGACGACGATGCACACCTGTGTAACGTCCTATTCTGGCCGCGGGCCGCAGGTACCACGTGTTCCCTCTCCGATGAAATCTTTTTGATTTTTTTTTTTTGCTTTAAAGCGATGATCAATTCCCCATACCCGATACGAATACCTGAAGTACTCCTTCGGAATAGTATAATTATGATATTAATAGTATTAATGATTTTCTGTTATTACTACATCTGCCATCTTTCATCTGTGAAATTAACGTTACTTCTTTCCGACGAATTATGTAACACACATCTTTTTATAATTAGAAAGTTATTAATAAAATACGCGTCATAAAATAGAACAGCTTTCAGAATCAAATTTCAAAGTAATTTTATGAAAGAAATGTCGGCTACATATCAGAGATATTCACAGTTAAAATATCCGAGGGAATTTTCATAGAATTAAAGATATAGATATCTTAAAGATATCTGCTTTCACTTTTTGGGACTCTTGAATAAGTAATAAAAGAACAGTGAAATATTTCATCAAACATTTTCTACGTTTAATTATTTTATATATTTTATTAGTTACTTACAATATAAAATTATATCGCTTTTAGTAATTAATTAGTGTATGAAAACAATACGTATGTTATTTTTATGATTTTTATAATATATAAATTTTAATAATGTTTAAGAAATAATTATTAATACAACTATATTACATTATATATTCCTCTGATTATACAATATATAAAAAAATGTTTATATTATGTTTTTTATATATAAAGAGCGAGCGTTCATCGATTTGAATATATTTATTTGTACATTTTAATATGTAACAGAACAGAAATAAATACAAGATTGAAAACTAAGAAATGAAAGGGAAAAAATAAAATTAAAAATAAGGAAAGCATCGTAATTATAATTAAACAAAAATGTTGAGAATATACGCAAAATAAAAAAGTTTATGTTTGTTTGATGAAGAAATGCCTAGTGAAATAAATTTTATTTTTCATTGTTTCCAAGATGCACAATATTTCTGAATTTAATATTAATATTAATAGGAATTTCCAGATCGGTGCTTGACAGATTTTTCCGAAAGATCGGACCTTTAAATTTCTTACGATAGCTTGAGTATCGCGGCTTGAGTAATATGGATCAGTAGGTAAGTGTGGCCCATAGTAACGCATAAACGCGAGAGGAGAAAGAGAGAAATTGCAGTTCTCTTGAATGCAGCACGTGACTAATACACCATATTATCGCAGTCTGTATTTATCGCAGTCGAACAAATCGCTCGTGCATTAAATCCCCCTCTCCCCCCTCCCCGCCCCTATAACATCCATGTCCGCCATGCATTCTTTTCTATTTTTCTCTAGAAATCATAATCACAGACACGTAATTTAGTATGCGTTAATTTAGGATTTCATAAAACGCAGTTTAAGCAGATATGTTCTTCCAAAATGGAGATTAGGGAAGATTTGTACATTGATAATTCTTATCAAACTGTGACGACATGATTTATATGTTTGTTTCAATGTTATTGTTTTATCGTCTCTCGACAGGTGGAAAGTTCATCTCCTTATTGTGAGCGAAGAGAGAAGTCTCGTTCGTAGTCCATGTAGAGATCATGTAACGAGTTTCTCTTTTCAGCATCGAAGGGTCAACATCCGGCTTTCGGCGTGCCTTTTATGGAAATCTAATGTAAACACTTTAGAGTATCAAACGTCTGACGGCTAATCAAAATTCTTTTAAAAAAGTAAAATGATTCCTGCACGCGCTAAAATTCTACTTTGTCCGACGATTTGTAAATTAAATGTACCACTTTCGGTATGCCTTAAACATTGATGGCTACTGTGTGTCGCTAATTAATTTAATTATTACCGTCACTACTAACGTCATTATTACTTTAAATTCAAAATTCAATTTTACATTCCGTAAACTTATTATATTTTTATAAAACTTACAAAAATGTCTCCGCAGTAGTAAATAATAATCCGACGGTAAAAAAATAAATCGGTATATTCAGATTATATTCAATCGCATTTGTTTGTGTATGTGTGTGTATATATGTGTCATATTTTTTGTAGATCTATAATTTTTGAATTAATAAGAATGATATTTATAATAATGAGATAAAGAATAATAATAAATGTGAAATTAATTTGAAATTAACATTAATAAAATTTTATATAATAAAAAATTTTTATATAATAGAAAAAATCAATAATTATTTATAAATCTTTTGTTTACTTTGTTTAATCCAGCTTTGTTTAATCGTAAATAAAGATTTCAAATTTGAAATTATAATAGGGAAATTAAATATTCTTGAAATACAACTTATAAAAAAAAGAACGTTATTTATCATATTTAATATAGCCGATAAATTACCATTGGCAGGTTTATAACTCATTAATTAGCAACAAATTTTAGTCTGAGACCTCGCTTGATTGTCTAAAAATTTGCACAAGATCTTCATAAATTATATCCTTCGCCTTCAACGGTTTTGATGCGTCTGTGTCCTCGAAGCATCGTCGCAAACAAGTCCTAGAGAAAAAGTTGTTTATACGACCTTAACAACAAAAAAAAAAAAGAGACGTGAAACTCTTCCTAAGAATCTTGAATCTTGAAATAATCGCAAAGATTCTGAAATCGTCAAATGTCTCTTTGGCATTTATCCTTTTGTGATCAGATTGCTGATTAAATTCGTATGAATATTTCCTTAATTTTCACCTTGTTCGCAACTTTCGAGAAGCTCTCGCGTCCTCGAGAGGCTACGCCCGCGATCAAAGAGATCATTTGGTATTAAGATCACGTTATATGTATACATTGTATGTATCCTACGCATATCGCATGATGCACAAAGGCCTTCACGACGTTTTCCAATATCGTTCGGCACACTCGTTTTCCTTGACATACCTCGAAGATGAGCCCACGCGTCGCAAACATCCTACGTGCACTTACGTATCGCGACAAAAATTTTCAGTTACAATTTCCAATTACGATTATTAAATAAATAAATATCTCGTTGAAATATCTCTTTCTGAACTGTGATAAAATAAGATATAATTTTTAATTTATATTTAGTAGATGATCTTAAGCATTTTCTTAAATATTCAAAAAGAGAACATTTTTAAAGTTTTTTATTAAAAATTTTACAATATATGTGTATTATAAATATCGACGGGTCCATTATATTTAGAAAAATCTACATAGCATTTTACAATGTGCATCATATATTTATTAATGTGAAAGATAGTTATAATAATGTTTATAAGAAGTAAATTTTATTATATAAGATTGTTTTAATTTTATAATAAAAAATTGTAAAGAAGAGTATACATTTTTTGCTTGTGATATATGTAAAATTAAAATATAAAAATTGTATTGTTTTCGTAATTTGTGGCGTTTATTAACTCAACAAAATAAGAATTGTCGGCGGCAATACTTAATGTATGATCATCCGTGGAAATAAGCTCGCCATCCGCATACATTATCCGCTTACGACGCACGCTTTCACGAGTCGCATCACTTCCGCCGCGCCGTGGTGAAACTTACTGATATTAAAAACAGCCTTGCAATGCATCGAGCCGTCACGCGTTTAGCCGTGCCTTTAATGCAACGAGGAAGACAAGAATCGTTTGTGATGAAACGGCAACGCCGACTCGGCACATCGCGATGGCATGCCATCGCACATGATATTTATTATCTATCTGGCAATGTCGTAGAACGCACAGGTTCAAGTGTAAAACTGCGAAAGCTGAACATGAACGCGGAATGCCCTAGAAAAATTTATATAATGATATCAGATAATATTCCGTACTTTATGTAAAGTTTCTCTCTTGTTAAAAGCGAAACTGAGACTGATTCAGCGGCGTTATTTAATGCCGAAAATTGAGGGATTCCGATGTAAATTCGCGCGGCGTGGGCACATGAATCTAACTTTCTCACACAATTGCACGTAAATTTTGAATTTCAATTCGTTTTCCTTATCAGAGATCAAAGGAAATTTAATAAAAAAAAAAAAAACACACGACACTAAAATCCATTTAAAATTTAAATTTCTCTTAAATCACTCATTATTTCACTCAAACTTTTTTGAATATAAAGTTGGAATCTAAAAATATTACCTTTTATCATTATTATGTTGGTTTTCCGGTACCCTCGATTTACATTTAAAAGAACATACGTGGAATATGTGTTAAGTATGACAGATCATTTTCGTGTAACGTGACTGTTGTCTCAACAATTATTCTCTCGCCGGGTGTACGATTTAATTGTTCCTGCGCGATCTCTCCATGGAGAAAGATTTGCCTTCGCTTGACATATTATCTGAGATCGCAGGTAGAAATAGCGTGAAATTGTCGCGCTAACGCCGAGTGAAAACGGACTGTGTTTTACAAATTTTTAAAGAATAAGAATTATTAAACGAGAGAGGTATGTAAATGTAACGTGATTCATCGGAAAAACAATGTTGTTATTTTATTCATTTTTCCCTCGCGATAGATCGACCGAACTTTTAATCTTCTCACAGGCAGATTAGAGAAATATTGAGATCGTGAGAAGGAACGGTGAAAGTTTTCTTTTTTTTTTTTTTACACACGATACCGTTAAAAGGAGAGTTTCCTTTTTTTACGCGGACGCTGGAAAAACCGTCGCGCGCGCCTATTTGTTCGCGTTTATTTTCCGGAACGGGGGGGGGGGGGATCGTCGCCTCGCTATTGTGTGTTTCACTTCGGGAGACTCGACCATCCATTTGACACAATTTCCGCGAAAAGGTGCCGAAGAGGATCTCGGAAACGTTTGTCACGGGCGCGACGGAAACGCGCGTTCTTCCGTTTTACGAGCGATCTCGTTGTTCAACTATGCTTGAAACGGCGGCTCGCGTCGCCATCAGAAGTAGAGAATCGGCGCAAGAAGTGGCTCACTTTCGATGCCGAAGCTCGACGGGCATGATATTCGCTCGTATTTTACTTCGGGAATAAGGCGCGACTCGTCGATTCTCCAGGACTTCCCTCCGATCGTCCGATCCTTGAAATTCTTGAGTTTTTTTCCAAATTCAGACGACGCAAGAAATACCGTCAGGTTACGCGGATTTCTATTCCCGTTCGCTCTCCCGAGATCTCGCTCGGTGGGAAAAAATTTTCTGCCGAGATGTATGATAAATCATTCGAAGAATGAGGAATAATATTATCGTGGATTAGCGCGCGGAGACCAAAGTGGATGCGGCCTTAAACGAGTCGTTGAACTCGCGGCAGCAATGTAAATCGGCAAAAAATGAAATTTAGAGATATCTGCTCTCTCGTAAATATATTTTGAATAAATATATGCTTTAATGTGGCAAAAAGTTTTAGAATTTATTTTAGCTCTAGACAAAGGAGCAGAAAGGAAAAGAGATGGAGAATCTTATAAGGAATATATCCTAATGACAGATTTTATATTAAGTGGTTTCGCAAGCTCGTTTCTCGTCTTTCCAAATTTGGAAGATGTGATTCGCACCGCTATTTCGCTTAATCAATCAAATAAAATTTGTGCACGAATGCGATAAGGAATGCAAGTAAACGGTCCTTTAGGAATGCAGCACTAATTTGTTTTCTCTTTGGAAGATAAGATTCTCGCATGATGTTCTCATGATGTTAACAGGAGTCATTAATCGATTTAAGATCAGACCAGGACCAAGTTTATCAACACGACTCGAGGATTTCCTGCATTCCTGAAGTGAAACTGGAGAAGCGTTGGTTCACTCGCGACCCGAAATCCAACTCCTATTCGGCATTCGGCCTTTGGCTACATTTGTTCTTCTTAATTGTCAATTATCCTTTTGTTCAATACGAAATCCCTTGACGTCTCGAACGGATCTTTGTCGCAAGATGATTTATTGTACGTATGATGATTTATTGTGTCGTAAAACGATATTTCACCACGCATTTATTTCGTATTGACGTTTTTGGCGTTGCTACAGATACTACGTCATCTGTAATAAAGTAGCGCGCACATCATCAATTAAATAACAGAGGAGCCTAAGTGACAGGAATAATCGAATAATAATGATGATTATGCATTTGACACATTTGACACATGCGTGGCAAAAAAAACATTCCAAATATGTACTGTCATGTGGATACCGTTCAAGGAACTGTAATACGTTCCACATGTTATATAATACCCGCGCGATTAAAAGTTGCAAAATATAATTTTATATTACGTTAACTCCGATAAACCGATTCTTATATCTATTTTTACACTGAGTGAAAAACGGATTCTCTTGATAACTAAATATAGGTCGAGGTAATAATATTGCAAAGAGCGTTTTATTTCTAACGTATTATTTTCTCAGATTCTTTGACCAATTCGGTGTCATTTCTTTCCTCGGTGAAAATGTCGGGAGAGATCGTCATTTATTGCGACTTTCTAGTTATTAGCATTATACATCTTTATATCTAAGTCTCAAATTAAAGTTCTGTTAAATTACTGTTTACTTAAAATTGAATGAAGGATATGATTGTCTTATTCTCATCTCGTCATTATTTCGAAACTCTTACTTGCTCAATTAACTCGTTTAGAAGATACTTTTTTCCTTTCATCACTCGTTAATTATCATTTCGATTAAAAAAAAAAAGTCGATTACGATATTTTAATCAAAGAATCGGTTTACCTTTACTTTACGTATATATTCAATTTTGCCTCACAAATAATGCGTAATCACAAATATACTCGCCCAAGTACAATATAAAATACATATACAACGTACATAAAAAAAAAGACAGAATATTTTTTTCATACTCGTGAAATCGAAATCGTAAAAGATATCGAGCGCCAATAGACATCGTGCGCGCGCGCTGTTTACGTTTGGTCGTCAAATTATCCGTTTTAACCTGTTTAATTTCGCCGGCAGCTTGTTAATTAAAAATCGTGGCATACCTCGTTGCCGCGTGTAATTATTGTCAGCGGTAATGTGCGGCGCGCGTGCGATAATTGGTCGGCCGCCATCCGTCTCGTCCGAAAGTCCGCTGCATCCGTAAATTCTCTCGGGCCGCGCCGCCATAGAATAACGCCGACCTACTTTTGCACCCCGCGACTACTTTCACTTGCGAGGACGAGGTCAGCACGGATGCACGGGCGGAACGAATTTCCGAATAGCATACCTCCGCTACTCGCCGCGGCATATTTCGTTCGTGTTTGAATCCACTTTTCTTGTCTCTCCTCTTCATTCGTCACTTTTACGAAAACTTTCGCGCCCCTCCCTCCCCCCCCCCCGAAACGTCGAGGCAAGACGACTTATTAATGGCTTTTACAATCGTCGCGTGACATAAATGAGCAAAAAAAAAAAAACCAATCATTTTTACGTGCTAACCATGTCGTGTTTTTATTCGGGAATCGCCACTCGTTAGACTCGTAGACGGGATATTTTATGTATTATTAAAGATGAATACCGCACACATACACGCGCACGCATCGTGGAGTGAGTGAAGCGAAGATCTCCCTTTTGAGTTGTGATCTTTTTTTTAAGAGATACTGCGAGATAGATAATGTAGTTAAGATAATATTGTCTGATATTATCTCGATATAATTATACGCTATAATCGATGCTGATGTATTATTGATGGAGCTCTTGCATATATGTGTAATATGATGATATTATACGTTAGTGTAGTATGATGTTTAATCGATTTTTAGACTCTCGCTGCTTCACGCGCGAAATTTGCATAACGTGCGAACATTAACGCCATAAATCAACGAGCAGGAAGGAGAGATCGCGTGTGCGCGATTATCTTCGGGCTTCCTAGGCAATCATTAACAGCTGATCGCCGTACAGTCTTTCTTCCTCACGGCGCTAAACACCTCACGAAGGCCATTTCTTTTTGCGACGTCGTCCGGAGTTCTGTTAATGCAAAAAAAACGATGCATGTACTTATCTTTTTTTTTTTTTTTTTTTTTATATCATTACGGATGTAGTTAGCATATAATAGAACGGGATTATATGGGAAAACGTGCCTGAAGAAGTTGATTACCTGGCGGCCAAGTTCCACAAGATATTCTGCAAGATGTTGGACTTCAGCTCACCGCCAGCCAAGATCAATTCGCAAACAGATCGATCCTCGCAAACCGTCGATTGATCGTCGAGCGTAGGTGCCTGCTTGTGCTCGACCGGCAGATCGACGGCCCGTAATTTCGAGAGGACGATGTTCGGCTGACTAAAATTAAACCCTTGATTAAGAATACATGCGGACATTTGAATTTATTAGAGATAAAGGGAGATAAGGAGGAAGCGACTTACGTTGTCGTCGTGTTGCCGACCCGAATAACATTCGGCGTCAGTGTCGCTAATAGTAGACCAAGCGGTAGAAAAGTGCCGATTAGGTGAATAATCTTCTTCCAAGGAAACGGTCTATAAACGATATTTTCATGTTTTATGTGAGAAAAAAATGATGTTTCAAAAACATGTTAAATAGATGAACCGTTAAGTGAGACGCGGTATACATTTATATGATTGATCGTGTAATACAGGCCTCAAAATTGAATACCGAGGAAAAAATTAATATTCTGCTATTAAATAAATAAATAAACATAATAAATTTTAATATTAACAATTAGAGTTAATTGAGTATTGATTTTTGTTATACACACACGTGTAATATATATTTTCTCTTATTTGAATTTTAATATTTTCTTAATAATAATATTGTTATGAATTCTTTTGCAGCAAATATAATGTCGCATTCACAAGCTCACCTTTTCATCCGCGGATAAACCATAGTCGGATGTGGGTCCTCTATGTATTGCACATCGTGATAGTCGCCACCCGATTGATAAAACGGATAGGGGAACTTCCGCTTTCTCGTGTAGGTCGACTGTTCCTCAAGTACCAAGATCCCGTTATTCTCCGGTTTCTTTATCATTTCGATCGCGGTCTCTTGCGACGTCGGCTGATAAGCATTCTGAGTCTGATGATAACTGATAACGTACGGTGACCTCGAGGCGTCGTAGTAAACACCGGTTAATCGATGATCGGTCGTCGGTTTCCCGAAGATCGCCGAGGTATCCTGCACCTCCGGCTTTTCGACGTTTTGAAAAAACGTCTGATCGACAAACGCATGACCGACGGCTTCCTCAAACTGCGATCTCGGACTCTCCGTAACGGTCTGCCGATCACCGAAGGAATGTCGGACGTTCGACGTTTGTGTCACGCGGTCATCCTGGAATTTAATTCTGCTCGATCGCGTCGCCTCGTCCAACAGACTGGAGACACCGTGTCCAGGAGACTGGAGATACGTGTCCTGAAGGATATTCTGAAAACGTTCGCGCTGCGTATCCAGATGAACGTTGTTCTCGAATCTCACGTGCTGCACATTGTTGAAGGGATTCGGCCGAACGGCCGGTTGCTCGATCTCGCCCAAGTGTTGGCTGGGCCTGAAGACGTTGGAATCGTTTCGATGACGGGCCTCGATGACGATCGGTGACGTTAATTCTCGACTGCTATTGGTGACCGGTAATGAGGCGGGCGTCGTGTTTTCATGAATGGAATATCGATCCGTTATCGTCGAGGAAGTCTCTTTGAAGATGACTTTCGTTTCGCGTGGCTCTTCAGACGCCTCAAGGATCCCCGCGAGTATAAGACCAACGATCAGACGAAGCAGGAAGTAACGACGCATGGGGATCTTACGCAACCACATGTTTCTCGTTCGATTAAGCCGGTAATCAATGCGAATGATGTTCATGCGTCGATGATGACGAACGGATACGGAGAACAGTTATTTCCATTGCGAGGTGTCCGCGTACTAAAACATTTGGCACGATGCGCTGCGACTTTAACTCGCGAAAAGGCAAGAGTAACGACGTAGCGTATTCTAAAAAGCGTGAACGTGGGAATGATTTCTTAATCGTCGCTTCCACAATCGTCATCCGCACTCCAATTGTTGTTGACAAAGTGAACGCTGCGACGTTTAGTTCAAGCAGCCACACACAGCCGTGGTACACGGTGCATCCTAAGATAAATGCATAACAGATCGCAGTAAGATTGTGAAAATTTAATAAAAAAATTTTATAAAATTTAAATTTAATAGAGGAAGGAAAGAGAAATAATAAATTTATTAAGAAGAAATAATAAATTTATTAAGATTAGTTAGACATAGCTTTTGACATTTTCAGACCGTAAATAAACATCACGTAGTTAGAAATCGAAGGAAATGATTTCTAAAATTTTTTAAATAAATTAAGATTTCCTTTTCTCTGAGAAAGAGAGACAGAGAGAGAGAGAGAGAGAGAGAGAGAGAGAGAGAGAGAGAGAGAGAGAGAGACGTAGT